ACACACACACACACACACACACACACACACACACACACACACACACACACACACACGAACACGCACACGCACACGCACACGCACACACACACACACACACACACACACACACACACACACACACACACACACACACACGCACGCACGCACACACACACACACACACACATATATATATATATATATATATAATATATATATATATATATATATGTGTGTGTGTGTGTGTGTGTGTGTGTGTGTGTGTGCATACACACGCACATATATATATAATATTATATATATATATATATTATATATATATATATATATATATATATATATATATATATATATATATATATATATATATATATTTATATATAAATGCCTGTATATATGTGTATCTATTCAAGTATTATGGAAGTATACTCCCACTTATATACATGAATCTTTGAAATCACATATCTGCATACCCACATCTATAAATAAACAAACGAATACAGAAGCACGCACACGCATACATACCTTTTCCTTTTAGTCATGAAACAATTACTTGCCGAAATAATCTTCATAACTCACTGCTGATATCAACGTAAATGCCACGAAAAAATTTGATGAGCATTTATTTATGCATGCACACATCCTGGGGCTGCTTAGAGAAAGATGTGTCAGAATTTCCTTAAACTATCTCCGAATCTATCAGATATGTGTGTATGAAATGTAGATTTTAAGGGTGTAAATAAAAGTAGATATAAATCAAAACAATAAAGAGGTGAATGCGAGCATGAGAGATAAAGCGTGATTTGAAAGGCAAAACGTACTCCTCTAAATCTATAGCACGTATGAATTCATACTGTATATCTAACATAACGAATTCAAAGTATTTTCGATGCAACTGTATCCTCTGAAAGAATTCCACACTCCTGTTATGCTAGTAAACATCAGTATAACAGCAAAATCAGTAATGCTGTAATCATTACACACAAGTGTGTTTGCTACAAATAAATAGTAAATATTCATATAGACTTTCATGTGAAGGCAGGAGGGCAGGAGGTATTACGTAGAAAATACTTTCAAATCGTATTTACTTATGCAACTGATAAAGAATCCAATAATTAGTACTAGTAACACAAGTACAGTCACAATCACAAAGTTGAAATAGAGATATTTCTTTAAAATGTCTATATCATTTAGGTATTTCATTTCAATACTAATCATCTGAAAATTCTGAAATCAGGCAAGCTAAACTTCCTCTCTACTTCTCTCCCCCTCTCGCCTACTCCTCTCTCCCCCGCCGAAAAGCGCACCAGAGAGCCATTCCTGTACTGCGCTTGAAGTCATGCTCAAGTATCTCGAAGGCACGCCACAGGGCTGCTTGAACCTGTGGCCGTCGCCTAGTCCAGGCAACGCCACGCTGTCCCTGTGCGTTCTGGCAGGACGACGTTTCCCTGATCAATCCCCACAGTAATATATGGTCTCTCACCGGGGGTTAGATTAATACGATCTTAACGCAATTACCAGCGTTCATTTACCTTCGCGTTTACCAGAGATGGTAAACTGGGATTCACGAGGAGATGGCAATCAACAGTTACAATCGTAAATAGACTCATTCTAATGGTATCCAACAGAGGGCTATAGTATATCAACCCCACCAATCGGCGAGCACCATGCATAATCTTTTAGGTACCTTCGGCCAATCACATGACAAGTAAACAGAACTGGCGAGATTTTGAAAATTGTTGTCACAGCTAAAACACATTTAGGTATATGTAGAGCAGAAACTAATAGATATTTTTAGTATGTCCATTATGTGGGATGTTAATAGACTTCCCTTGCTATTTATTGTATAAATAGGAAGCAATACATACACTTACATTGATATATCATTATTTACCGCAAACCAAATAAACAGGTCAAACTTTTTTGTATTCATATTTCCTTTTCATCATTATTAAACAAAGAACCGGTTCAAACATAAATATTATTCATCGCCATCTATCGTGAAATGCGGGAAATATTTCTAGCTCATTGTTACTCATACGCTTTGGAATTTATTGATTTTGCCAGTTTTATATCAGCAAGTCTTTTTTTTTTATAGAATTTGTGATAATTATGTCAAAGAAGAATAATTATTTAAGAGTTCACTTATGTAACCATTCCATGCACTCTACAGTTTAATACATGACCATGTCTACCAAAATTTTTACGAGAATTTGCGTAATTTTATTCTTAATGTTTCTTGTTAGATTTGGATTTCTTCGCCATGTCCATATTGTGATATGTGTTTGCCATAATGCAAATTATATTAGGTATAAAACAAAACAAAAACAGATTAAATATTGATTTTTGGACGAGTTAACACGTGATGACATCGTCTTCTTAGAAGTTACCAGCGGATTTACTAATGCTCCGACCACTGGTAAAATTTACCATAGTAACTCCGACTGCATAGTAATCTAAAACAGAAAGAAAAGAAAGATGACCGAAGGTAATTTTGAACAGAAACGGGGTAAATGCATCGACAGCACGTTAGCTGTGACGTCGAGCCGTCCTGGTGTATCTTGAAGGGTGAAGGAGACTGAGGAGGAACAATAGTTATTGCTATTATCTTAATTATCATACTATTACTAATGATAATAATAAAGCTAACAATGATAATAATAATGATAATGATGATGATAATAACAGCATTTACAATATGCTAATAATAATGACAATGTTGATGAGAATGATAATGATGATAATAATATTATTAATGAGAAATAATAATAATGAAAATAATGATAATAATGGTAATAATGACAACAATAATAACAATGATGATACTGATGAATCATAATTACAGAATTAGTAATTTTAACAGTAATCATTATAACAATTCAGATAATAATAATAATAGCAATAACAATAGTGATAATAATACCAGTAAAAATAATATTAATAATAATAATAATAGTAGTAATTATAAAAAATATTTTAGTAATAATAATATTGATAATAATAGTAATAATAAAAATAACAACGATAATAATAACAATAGTTATAATAATAATAAAAATAATAATAAAAATGACAATGATAATATTAACATTACTGATAATAATATTGAAAATAATGATGCTGATAG